TCCGGGTAATGACTCTGCAACTCCAGCAGAGGATAACCAATTGATCACAGTTTCACAAGCTGGCTGTGCCATAGTGTAAGACACAACCCAAAACATCCCAATTGACCTTTCATCCATATTCATATAATCCATTATTCGATCCCCTGAAATAGAAACCAACAGTTACAAGTTCACAAGATTTCCAGGAAAATGTCCTATTATAGAATTTACTAAGTTTTATAATATTGTCGCATACAGGCAATTTTATAACAATCATTCATGATTTCGTTGCCAGAAAATGTCAATTTGTAATACTTCTGGAGTGGAATATACCTTTGCTTGCTGTCCTCCACCATTCATCTATTTGCTTTCCTTTTTGAAGCTGCTCGTTATTCAGATATTCTCTAGTTGTTGTGTTCAATGACCAAATACGTAAATTCTGGCAACTGCTTATGAAGTCCAGCAGGATACTTTGAGGACTATTTGGATCTGAGCTCCTATCTTCTTTATGAAATGATAGGATCTTTCGTGTTGTCTCCACCTACAATCAGTAAAGCTACAGGCTATAAATACGACACGATCAAGTAGTCTCAAATTACGGAGGAAACACAAATGAAAATGACAGATGTCATTCTTCGGGAAAAAAGTGGAATAATGCCCACATTTAGTAAGTGCAGCGAAATAGACAAAAGAAATTGCAAGAAGTAAGACAAATTATGTGACTTTAGTCGAAAGACAGTGGACTCCACTTTTCAAGGACAACCTTTCTAGCATCTTGATTTAGAGCATTCATCACAAGTTCAACCCGTATAATTTGAGCAAGAAGCCAAGTGACGTGATTTGTCCTAAGAATTTGTTGGTCACCCTCGGTAAGGCGTGAAACTAGCTTGTCCACAAAATCAACAAAATCAATACAGCCACTTTTAATAAGAAAAAAGAATATATCCGAAAAGACAAGCCACTCTTGCCAGCAATTAATATCTGCAAGGAACAAGATATAAGCATTAGCTTACTAAAAAAAAAAGCAATCATTACACAAGCAGGCAGAATCACAAATTTAAAAGTACGATAAAATAAAAAAATAAAAATTCGGATAAAATAATTTATAGAGTAGTACTAAAAAGACTTGGTAAGAAGAAAAAGGAAGGTCTACAATATCTGTAAAAGAGCAATACAGATAAGAAATGGCTAATCTTATTAATTTACAATGAAGATAATATTACCTGAATTGGTCAACTTTAATAGCTCAACAATTCTATCAATTGTTGCCTCGCAAATCATTTCAGAGATGAAAACAGCACCAGGAGTAGGCGCTTGAGAAGAAGACCTGTAGCAAGGGGCAACAAGCAGCACCCGTTTCCACCAGTCAGGTGATGGAGTAGTACATAGAGCATGCCTGATGCAACGCAGAGCTCTCTCCCAATCCAAACTTCCTTTTGGAATTGAAGTTGCAAGTTCCTACACCAGCAAAAGCAAAGGAATTCCAGATTATAGCCCCAAAAATAGATCCCTAAAGAAGTAGCATAGATACAGAAATCATGCTTGGCGGAGAACATCATTTATTTTACAAATTTTATTGTTACATATCATCTTCTTATCATCATCTAATGATACTGATTATTGCATAAACATGATATATGCTAAAACTTCCATTACCAAATAATGAATTCGTAGATAAATTCATCACCTCTCCATGCAATGGTTCTCCCAGAACACTTGGATATGTGATTGGTGAATACCGCAAGCTTGCTACTGCTTCTCCTGAAACACTAGGAGTTGTCTGTGTGAAAATCCGATGAGTCCCAAACGTAGGGCAATGTAGGTGTTGATCTAACATTTTCATGTGCATGGCCATCATATCTCGTCTCCTATGGATCTCCAAGATTAGAGTAAATAAGGCTTCATCATCAGGTATATTCTCCATAAATTGCAACCCACTCCGCAGTAATTCATAGAAGGGCACTCGGCATTTATCCTCATCAACCAAAAGCCAAATCACATCCAAACAGCTATGTAGCCATTCAACTAGCGCCTTTCCAGGTCTCCAGGATCTTACACCATCAGGTTCATCAACCCCAAGTTGTTTTTGGTCCCAATTAACCAGCCAATTAAGCATATGGGAAAAGATGTTAGCATGAGTAACTGGTTTTAAATTAAATGCAAGTCCAGTTAAAATGATCTTGCAGCACAGCTGACGAAGACTGCTTATGGCATTATCTCTTATAGATGAATTGAACCTTGCCGTAGCCTGCTGTCCATTGGAGGCTACATCAGATGATTTAACTGGTGACATAGATGATGGTTCGATAGCAGACTGGGTGGGGGAACCAATGCCATGCACTGAAGGTAATGGAGAGGCGGGAGTCGAAGATTGAAAATTAGAAGAATTGGGGATTGCATTCGAAGATGGAAGCATAACAGACTGCGGTGAAACAGCAGGCATTGCTTGACTCCCTTGACCAACTGACATTTCTGCTGTGGAAACCGAAGAAAGAAGGGACGGCAAAAAACTATCCCAGTTAATGTGACCTATAGTACACAAGCTCCTTAGAGCAAAGAGAAGAAACTCCGCCCGTGGCGCATGATTACTACATTGCACAACTAGAGATATAAGTACAGACTCAGTCACGACGCGCAGTTGATCTTGGTCCTGAAACACATGGAACAACAACATCAGAACTACTACCTTAAAGTAATAAACTCCCAACAACAACGATACCAAGAACTGCAAGTTTCAAATTGTGCAACTTACAGGAAACTGGCTCTGCAGTTGTTCAAAATCTAGTAGGAACTGCTCGTTTCGAGGTGGAAGCTCTCGATTAAGAGCAAGTACACGCTTCTGTGACTTGTTCCTGAAGAATCCACAACACTAACTTCTTCAAAAAATTGACTTTTCGGTTTTTTCCAACTCAAAATTTTTTCTTTTATCACTACTATCAAATCAACTGTAAAGTTTGAGAAATCGGAACCAAAAATTATAATCTCTAACCAGAAAACAACATTAACTTAAATTAAATTCATCTAATTTGAACTAATTACGCAACCAAAAAAACAAATCTTTCAGTAAAATTACACACTTACGGAGGCTCCCGAACTGAATCATCAGGTTTTTGGCGGCTACTTCTCTGCGAAAAAGCATGCAAATTTCTTAATTTCAGATTAAATTGAATTACAAATTTTAACAAAAATAGAGAGCGAGTGCAAATTGAACTCACTCCTAAGTAGAGGTCGAAGAGATTGACAATTGCGGCACGTGCGGGGTGGAACTGGTAAGCTCGCGAGGCAGCTGACGCCGAGGACGATGGTCGCTGGTTTTGATCCATTGTTTTCAGCTCATGCCAATCGGAGCTCCAGCGAAGAGAAGGGAGGAACTGAAGAGAGTGAGACGGTGGCGGAGGAGGTCGCAGAATTTCAGTTTTTTCAGGTTGGCGGAGGCGCTTCGGTTTTGTATTGGGAGAATACTGTATGGTTGGGCATTTGAGGGCCCCGAATGACATATACACACAGAGCTCGGTCAGCGTCACTAATGCTAATTAGTAATTCCCTCTATTTCTGTTTTTATAAAAAGTTTAATTAATAATCTGTTGAAATTTTTATTTTTATTTTTTTACTTGGACCAAAATACCCATTTGAATGCCAACGGTTACCTAACGTTAGCATGACGCTAGCTAGCAATGGTTAGCTGACGTCATGCTGCCTGTACCGTTAGACCATCTTCAACCTTGAAACAACTTTTCTGGTCTAACCCTTATGGCATGAATTTTTTAACCTGAGATTATTAAATAATAAATTTAGGCTAACGTTTTCTTTTAAAGTAACTTTTTTAAGAAAATAAATTATGTACACTATCATAAATTAATTTTATGAACATTTTAACCTAAAAATATTTAGATTCTCATAAATATTGAAAAATCACTAAATCGTAAATTATTCTTGAGTTAAATATTTTAGCCGTTGCATTAAAATTTGGACCGTTACATCTTTATTTTACCGTTTGATTTGATTATATTCATCTTAGCCTTTGGATTTAATAAATATATAAATATAAAACTAAAAAAAATTTGTTTGAATTTAGGATGTTAGATTAACCAACGGCCCCTTTAATATGGCCGTTGGATCACAAATATAGCTGTTAGGCTATCCGACGCGTGGGGTACAAGCCCACGTGGGTGGGGTCGAGCTGTGATTGTCTCTAACGCGTTCCGCGCGTTGGCAGGTGAGGGATCGACAAGTGGGTTTCACAGCCCACTTTTCAATCACACTGGTGGGGCCCACACCGAATCCTGAGCTAATTTTTAGGGGATATTTGACTTTTGGCTTTTAGCCCAAACATTTAGGTTGGGTTGAGTTGGGTTTGAGGAGGGAATAAAAGGGAAAAAATGGCTTTTAGCTTAGGTTGGGTTTTGTCTTAGAATTTGATTTGATTTTATCAATTAAAAAAAATTCCATACTTTGAATTCGTCAAACTCCTAAATACATTTTATATTTGACATATATCGTCTCGAGTTGACTCTTAGGACATTCAGATGTTTTGACACCTCCAAAATACGTATTATGTTTTTATGTTGCATTATATTCTATTTACTTTTAGTCGAGTGTTACAGTACCTTAATACGGATGCGATCGCTTCCTCGTTGCGAAAAAAGGACAATCAAATATCCATCGTATCTCACGGGGCTGCCCATTTTCTATAAATATAAATACACACAAAAAAAAGATAAAAACATAAAATAAAAACTGGACACTGTCCGGAATATAACCGTTGAATCCAGCTGTACCAAGCCACGTCATCACAAGTGGTCTACTCGTGGACCCCAAACTCAGACCAAGCTTAACCTAAGCCCTCTGATTTGGGAGGCCCAACATCCGGTGGTAGCCTAGGCTTCTCTGCTTACTAGTTACTATGCACCTGCATGTAAATAACAGCCGTCCGATCTCTGACACACCCACACACTCTGCGATCATGCGGCTTCTGCATTTACAACTTCACCCCTCGCTCTCTCTCTCTCTCTCTGTCTCATCAGCTGCTTCCACAAACCTCAAAAGCAGCTCCCTTTTCCCTTTTTTTCTCTATTCCCCTCTTTTATTCTTGCCCTTTTGGCCTTTTGGTTTTCTTGGGGTTTTATTCAAATTTAATTTTCTTTCTGGGGTTTTTTCTTCTGTGGGGGTTTCATTTGTATGGTTTTGGAGGGCAGAGAGGAAGGATTCCATGGCTGCTCTGCTATTCTTCTTCCTATTGGCGGTGTCTGCAGTTTCTGCTGAAAAAGGTAAGCTTTTATGCTTTTCTGCGCATATGTTTTAGCAGCTCTTTAAAACTTAAGCTTTCATTTGTCAATAATCTTTATTTTTGGATGTCTGCATTGTGTTCTATGAGTTCCTATGTGCCAAAGACCCTTCCTTTCTTGTTAAAGTTCCATTTTTTTGGTGTTTTGATGCGTTTCCTATGTGGGTTTTTGCCTCCTTTTTTTCTGGGTCTTTTTTAAATTTGCTCAAATGATTAGTAGTTTTTTGGCTAATTAATCTGCAAGGTCATTGAGTTTATTGTGACTGATTTGATTTGAAGTTTCAATCTCTGCTGCACTTAAACCATGTTCTTCAAGAAAAATGCAGACCTGGAGAAAAGGGGTGTGTGAGAGAGGGAGAGTGGGAGAGTGGGTGCATTCAGCTGATTTGGGGGGGGGGGGGTTGTTTCTGAGAGAAAATCATTCCCTTGTTGAAAGTTTCCGATCTGTCGTCGGCTTTTCAATTTGCGTCCCACCTGGTCCAGCTCATTTGGCAGTCTTTTGAGCTCTAAAACCCCATTCTAATACAAATGTGAAATAATTCGTGGGACCAAAATAGCCTTGTTGGAGATGGAAAGGATAGTGTTAGACTTCATCAATGAACTGGGGTCCTGCAAAATCTGCTTCGGAGGGTATTGTTGTCATATTAGTTTGAGGAGGATAGCATGTGCTGTAGTTGGTCTTATATTATATGCATAAGCCCATTACTTCTCTCAGCTGCTTCACACTTAATTTATATAAGAGGCATTTTAGAATGATAAAACTAGATTAAGCAGGCAACGTTCTATTTGCACTATTTAATTGTATGGGGTTTTCATCTGTATATGAGATTCCGATAGCATTAATTAAGATGGTTTCGTATTCCATATATTTATCTATATAAGATATATTTGTATCTGTGAATCTATAAAACAACCTAGATTCTTAATGTTTTGACCACCACAAGGAATCTGTAATCATTATAATAGGATTAGATTTGGTTATGCCCATTGTATCAATGATTACAAGCTTGTCAAGGTTGCTTATGGATACATGCTACATGTGTTTTCATTGAAAAACAATTCACGGCAAAACATTCAAGATTTTCCTTGCAAACATCTTCTGAATGATAATGGAACATATCTCAATGGTGCTATGCACTGGTAATGCGTGCCCATCGGAGTTGGAGCTACCTGTGTCATTGCTGCTTTTGATTTGGCAGAGGAGAAAGTTCTTGTTGGCACCACTGGTTTCTATCACAGATTATCAGAGATTTATGACTGGCGTTTTGGGAGGGTGCATTTGTTTACTATTCCACAGCATCGGCACTATCAAGCAATACTGGTTTTGGATTATGAAATATTATAATGTGAAGGAGTCTTGGACTAGGATTTTGATAACCCCACTCATACGTTTCTCTACAGCCATTGGGTTACTGGAAGAATGGCAAGATATTACTGGTGAGAGATATCAGGGAATTACTTCTGTGCAACACGAAGGTTGGTAATGAAGGCCAAACTAGAGTTGGTCCTAACAAAGTGACGAGGGCCAATTAAGCTAACAATCTCGAGATGATTGTACATGTCAGATTTATGAGTGATGCTGTCTGTTCTATATGCATGATGAAGTTAATCTGAAGATGGAAGAGATTTTAATCTCAGGCTTTTTTCTTTTCTAATCTAGCACTCGTTGTTAATGTTTTGCAGATGCTGTAATTGGTGTAAACCTCGGTACAGACGTCTCTGATATGCCTAGCCCAACTCAAGTGGCGGCACTTCTTAAAGCTCAAAATATTCGACATATCAGACTCTATGATGCAGACAGAGCCATGCTCCTCGCTCTTGCAAACACAGGCATCCAAGTGACTATTTCGGTTCCTAATGAACAGCTCCTTGGGATTGGCCAATCCAATGCCACTGCTGCCAACTGGGTTGCTCGCAATGTGATAGCCCATGTCCCTGCCACCAACATCACTGCTATAGCTGTGGGATCTGAAGTCCTTAGTGCCCTCCCAAATGCTGCTCCAGTCCTAGTTTCTGCCCTGAAATTCATTCACTCTGCACTTGTTGCATCTAACCTTGACCGCCAAATTAAAGTCTCTACTCCGCACTCTTCCTCCATTATTCTCGACTCCTTTCCACCATCCCAAGCCTTTTTCAATCGCTCATGGGATCCGGTCATGGTTCCCTTGCTCAAGTTCTTGCAGTCTACTGATTCATATCTCATGCTCAACGTCTACCCGTATTTTGATTACATGCGCTCCAACGGTGTAATCCCCTTGGACTATGCACTTTTCCGCCCTCTTCCTCCAAACAAGGAAGCTGTCGATGCTAATACACTGCTACATTATACCAATGTATTCGATGCTATTGTTGACGCAGCGTATTTTGCAATGTCCTATCTAAACATCACTAATATCCCCATTGTAGTGACCGAGTCAGGTTGGCCCTCCAAGGGTGACTCATCAGAGCCAGATGCCACACTTGACAATGCCAACACTTACAACAGTAACTTAATTAGGCATGTGCTTAACAACACGGGGACTCCTAAGCATCCTGGGATTGCTGTTAGCACTTATATTTATGAGCTCTACAATGAGGATTTGAGACCTGGGTCTGTCTCTGAAAAGAATTGGGGGCTCTTTAATGCAGATGGAGTGCCGGTTTATACCTTGCACTTAACAGGTGCTGGAACTGTGTTGGCAAATGACACAACGAACCAAACCTTTTGTGTTGCGAAGGAGGGTTCCGACAAAAAGATGCTACAGGCAGGCTTGGATTGGGCTTGTGGGCCAGGGAAAGTTGATTGCTCGCCTTTGCTGCAGGGTCAACCATGTTATGAACCGGATAATGTGCTCACACACGCAACATATGCTTTCAATGCATATTTTCAGCGGATGGCCAAGGCTCCTGGAACTTGTGATTTCAAAGGGGTGGCTACTGTTACTACCACAGACCCAAGTATGGAATCATGACATGTTTATTTGCATCATGGTTTCGTGTATTACAGACTAGCTTGTGAGCATTGATAAAACTTAAGTAGTGAAGACTGCATCAAGTAGAAAAGTAACAAGTCGCATCAAAAACGAAAAATTTTGTTTTACAGCACTACCAATATGTTATAATATGCTTTTTTGTTGGTGCAAATCTTGCTTTGTTACTGATAATATTTCATTGCCAATTCTTGCAGGTCACGGATCTTGTATATTTCCAGGAAGGTACGAGTTACAAGTCTCTCATCTTATTACGATCATAATTTAACTTCCAAGAGACTGTTTGGAATAACCTAATGAACCTTTTGTTTCCTTGTTTTACTTGAATGCAGTGGCAGAAAAAATAGCACTTTCACCAATGCAACATCACTGGCACCATCTTCGAATTCCACTACTTCTGGGTGCCTTTCACTATTTTTCAACAGTGGCGGTTCCTTCACAAGCTCTGTGATCATCGGTTTCTTAGTTCTGAGTGCAGTTCTGTTGTAGAACATGATGAATTTGTATTTCCTGCGAAACTCTTTTGATGGAAAGGAAACATTTTTTAGAGACTCTGATAGGCACCTGTTGGGAAACTTGCAGCAATACCCAATTTTGTACCCTCCCAGGAGGAATTAGGGGGTGGCAAGCTTTGATTTGAACATATAGGAAGCAGCAAATAGGAGTTGAAAGGTGAGTACCTGTCCATTGGAATTTGTTGAAACAAATCGGAAGGGGGAGAGCATTTAGGATTGTTTTCTGCAACTATCTTGTTTGCGTAAATCTGGTTTTCGCTGACGGTTGTATTCTTTTAGTCTTGATTTTGATCTGTCCATTTATTCAACTAGACGAATTCAGGATGTATGATCTTCGTGTAAATCTGCCTGGTTTCTTTCAATCCGACCGACTTTTCTTTCGTAAGATTTTGCCAGTATTAATTTCAACGACTGAACAGAAAGCATCCAACGCACAATCAAATTATTCAACCACGCAGTGCAAATCTACGATGAACTTTGCATTACAAACATACAAAACGAACCCGGTGACTCGAGAAGGACAGTATTTGCTGCCGGTGTGTTACGAATTGGGTTTTTGAGATTATAACTGATACGAGCAGGTGTTTGCAACACATCGATAACATGGCATGAATTTACAACGTTTTCACTGCAACAGATGAAACGAATATTTCACGTAAACGGAACACACTCTGTTTGCAACTCCTCATGAGAAAATATAACCCATTCGTGCTTTTAGTATACAATGGAAAATCATAATATCGTCACACGTGCGAGCAACGATAAATGAAAAATTGGCGGACATTGTCAATGGTCCAAAGGCTCGACGGCTGTTTTGAAGAGAAGAACGTAAACCTTGTCGATTGAAAAATACAAGAAGCCGCCAGTGGAATGTGTCACGTACGAACCGAAGCTAGTTCCAACAATGCAGTGCCAAGCAGGACCATACGAGGAATCGAAATCCTGTCAAGAAAAACAAAAGCAACATTGTGAACTCTCTGTGCAAACCAAAGCTAGTTCCCATAATTTCAATGCTGTATGTTTCACCACATCATTATAATCTCAAAGCATCAAAAGTTACAGCATAAAAACAGAAAATCTTGTGATTTCTCAGTTTCCCGATCGGGTTACGAACAAGGCAGCTAAAATTACATTCCCGTGCGACCCGCCTCTTTAAATTGACGCATAAATGCAATGGTGGTTTTTGAACAGCACATTCAAGCTGAAAAAATGATTGTGAAGTTCGAATTTATCGAGAATATAAGTTTGTCATAAACTGTGCGTCTCAGAGAATGAAAAATTTCTGGAGAAGCACTTCCGAATGCTTCTTCAGGAAGCACTTGAATAACAAAAATTTCAATGTTTATAATGGAAGCACTTGTAGTAGAAGCGCTCATGAGCACGAGCGGTTCCTACAGAAGCATTCCCAAACGAGAAGATTTTTGGCCCCCATATGATCAATGCCCATTACTCAAAACACTTCTACAATACAATCAGCATTGCAAGCATGCCATTGCCATTTGCCACTACAAACCCACAGCATAAAAATACCAGTTAGAAAAAAGCAAACCATAATCTGATAAGGGCAAAAGATTTGACCTTTTTAAGTGCGAGAGCGAGGCGTTTGCTGTCGAGCTTCCCGGGCATGGCGTCGAGGTGATCCCGCGCAGACCGAAAGGCGCGGTTTTGCAGAGTGATGGGCATGTCAGAGGCCCTGACTCGGACATTGAGGCTATCACGGTGATCTTGTTCCTCCACAGATTTCTTCTTCTGTATCAAACTGCTGAGGAACTTGCTCCGCCTCTCCAGCTCCAGCTCCGCTCCCTCCATTTCTCTCTTCGCCGATGATAATTTCACTCTCTCATATCAGTCAAAAAGTGCATTCCATGTGTTTGCGAGCAGTCCCCAAGAGGTCTCGATTGCAATGTAATTTGGGTTATATATTTGCTGTTGTTTGTCTTTTGATGCATTGTTTGCGTATGGGGCAGGGCGTTGGGGTAGGGGTAGTGGTGGACTGAGGAGTCAGCTTTTCCATACTTCGATTAGTAGAAAGCTGCCGACCAAAACAAACGGCATTGCCTAATGACAGATGAGAAATATTAGGTCAGGCTCTCGACATCCCTTCCGACACATCATAATTTAACGTTAATATATGTGACAATATTATAAAATATCGTGCTAAAGTCATGAGGTAACAGAAAGTTCATGAATAATCCACTTTGAAAAAGTCTCATTATCATTTCTCATGCCAAATAATCGTTTGTTTGAGGTCTTTGAAGTAAAATTGTCGACAATGACATATTTTTTAGGGTGTTGTGAACACGATCCGGTTAATTGGTTGGAAACTTGACAGTAAATTTTTTTTAATCAATTGTATTATTACAGTTGGTGTACCATTTTGACATATTAAAAAATTTCTCATCGGCTTATATTTCAATTAATTAAGTACGTTTACCATGTGCTTCTATTTAGTATTTACAATGTGAACGTAATTACATTGACAAGAAGGACTGTATTCTGCATCCAAAATTGAATTTTCCAATTACAAGGCCATATGCTTCAATGATTAGAATGACCTACTATTTCTAAAGCAGAAGTATTTTTCACTCCAAACGTTCATGAAGGGCCTCAATTTTTTCAGCAAAACCACGATAATTGCGGGAAAAAGGACGAAACCACGATTGGGTAAGTCAGTGTCAGTGGGTCCTCCTCATGAATTTCTTTAGGTTTTTCTAATGTTGACGTGACTGATATTGCAAAGGATTTTGATCACATCAGATTGACCAAATTCATCATTTTAGTCTCGCATTTCCAAAATCAATCAATATCATCCTTAACATTCACCACCGCACATCAATTTGGTTCTTCCGTTTAGATTCCGCCAACTATTTCTATTAGTTTGCATGTGAGATCCACAAATCCAATAAAATGATGACACGTGATTGCACAAAATAAGGATTGTTATCACAAATGGTCCCTGACATTGATCAAACTCCTCATTTTGGTCCCTGTTTCAAAAATCAATAAATTTAGTCCATGACTTTCACTACTACACATCAATTTAATCATTCCATTAAAATTTCATCAATATTTTTTGTTAGTGTGGTAATATGGTCCTACTAGTCCAATCATATGACGCCACATGAATTAATTATTAAAAAAAATTAAGATTTAAAACTAAAAGTACTATAAAAAATTAAAAACAAAAACTAAAAGAAAAAAAAAAAGACATCATCATCTTCATCTAGGTATGCTCAAAAAGAAAAAGAACTCTCCATGACAACACTAAAGCTTTTGTCCTCTGTGAACTCACTTATCATTCTCTTTAGTTCGTTATAATCCTATCAAATTTGAATTGAATTTAGATTCGATTTTATCAAATTTAGATTGAATCTTATTTTCCAATCGGGATTGTGGGATGCGAGAGAAATGTCAGCGCGTAATACTCGCCAATTGGTTCATTCTAAAAAAAAAAAAAAATTAGTTTCTTATAGTTAATCCACTTAGTGTTGTATGATTGGACTAGTGGGACCACATCAGCACACTAACAAAAAATATTGACGAAATTTTAATTGAATGACTCTATTGATATGAGATAGTGAAAATCAGGGACCAAATTTATTGATTTTTGAAACTCAAGGACCAAGATAAGGAGTTTGATCAATGTCAGAGACCATTTGTGAAACCCTTCTTTTGTATAATTCACGTGTCACAATTTTATTGGATTTGTGGATACCACATACAAACTAACAGAATAATTGATGGAATCTAAACGGAATGACCAAATTGATGTGTGGTAGTGAGTGTCAGGGGCGACATTGATTGATTTTGAAAGTGAGGGACCAAAATGATGAGTTTGGTTAATCTTAGGGACCATTTGTGATAAAAACTCTATTGCAAAACATAAGAATGTATTTCTATTCTTTTGTTGGTCACACGGCACCTGGAGTTTGAACTGAAAATAATAATAATAATAATGAAAATGATTTGAAAATTTTGAGTTTTAATAAAAAAGACAAAAATGTGTTGTAAGTGAATAGTACAAAGAGTGACTTTTTAGAATAAAAATGTCATTTTTGATTAAAATAAACAATACAAGAGTGTTTCGTTAAAACTCTAAAAAAAAATTGCAATCCCCTGTCCTATAACTTGGCCATGCCACCAAAATCGAACATATTCCTTTATTTTCAGCAAATCAAACATATTCCTTTATTTTCAGCAACTCGAACATATTCTTTTATTTTCAACAAATCAAACAAATTCCTTCTTTATTTTCTGTTTTTTTTTGGTCTTCAATTTTGAATGTATTATTATCTAGGGTTTTTGTCATAAATGATCCTTGAAATTGAATCACCGCATCAAGATAGTCCCTGAAATTGAAAATCAATCAATGTAGTCCCTGAAAATGAATGTTGCAATGTGGTCCTTTCATTACAATTCTGTTAAAATTTTTGTTATGTGCTTATGTGTCACATAAATGGATCTCACAAATCTAATTAAATATTAACATTTATATTAAAATATTAAAATAATAATAAATAATATTTTTTTATGACAAAATAAAAAATACATATTTTTTTTTATTTTGTTGTCTTTCTCGCACAGGCTTGGCTACCATGGCAGCCCTACCCACTACCAGCCGAAGCAAAAAATCTCATGGGTGTGTGAGGGTTTTTGCCCAAATCTTCTGCTACTTGTCGAAAAGATTGGTGTGGGGCCGTCAACTTAGGCCTTGGGTGTGGCGGTAGATCGGAGGATATGGTTGGGAGAAGGTGGGTGTCAGCGATGCTGGAATTAGAAACAAAGAAGATAGTTTGGTTCGACTGGGTTTCTATTATGGTATATTATGTTTAAATGGATCGAGTGCCAAAAATGGAGCGATGGCAGCCAAGGCTGCTCAACGAAGATGATGAGAGAAAAAAAATTTTTAATTTTTTTTAATTTTGACATAAAATTTTATTTATTTATTATTTAAATTTTTAATTTCACGGTAATATTTAATTAGACTTGCGGGACCTACTTATATGACGCAAAGCACATAGTAGAAATTTTAACGGAATTTTAAAGGAATTGTAATGGAATGACCATATTGATTTGTGTCATCAATTTTTAGGGACAACCTTGATTGATTTTCAATTTTAAGGACCAGCTTGATGGGGTTGGTCAATTTCAAAAATCATTTGTGATAAAACCATATTATTTATTTGTATCATTATACATGATGCTCATATTACAACAGTTATTCAATATTTCATACATTGTACATGAGTTATAGTAAATACAGTATATGAGTTATAGTGTCGAAAACTCTACTATGTTCCAAAAATATACTGCGATGCTCGAAAACTCTACTATTTATATTAACATGAACCAAAACTCTACTATGAGTTATAGTGTCGACTCATGCCTTCCTCCACCACCGGACTCATTCCAACTTCACGGTTCCTTTCCTTGATGTTTCCATGCCATCCTAATTGTTTTATTATTCAACATTAATCCAACCAAGTCAATGCAAAGAGAACAAAAAAATAAAAAAAATCTAAAATATAGAACTCTCAACTACATCTAGCCTTTATTTAATTTGGAAGGTCAGTCAGTTTGTGGCCAACACAAAATATTATCAAATTTGCTTCTAGAGGGTCTAAAGCCACCGGGTTTGAAAAGACCTTTCTTCTTTGTAATATCGTTTCCTTTAAAATATATATAAATCTTAAATAAACATGAACAGATGTACTAATTAATTATGATTACTAAAACTTAACCTAACTCAGGAAGTAAGGAAGACATAGGTACTAATTTCTGATTAAGGAGATCCAGTTTTATATATTAATGCGGGAGTTTATTGAAACTATTGAATTCAGAATATGATAAAGTAGCTCATGGGTGGGGAACTACTCTTTTGATGGGTCTCGCAATGGCTCTATTCGCAATATTTCTATTTATTATTTTAGAGATTTATAATTCTTTCATTTTAATGGTGTAACTGGTTGTATATTCTCATATTAATTAGTATTAATCATGTCACGCAACACCGGTTGATTGCATCTTTGAATTTAAAAGAACTAGAAATAGAGAAGTGATTACCAGGTTTCATGTTGAAACCGCGAAACTTGAGCTCGCGGTACTCTTGGCACAAGGCGCAGCCCTCACAGAAGCAATGAACCAAGCAGTCACCACAAGGGCTCCCATCCAGGGTGTATTGCTGTCTCATTTTGGAGCGGTAGAAGCATGAATAGATACACGGAAAAGCCGTCACACAAGCAATCAGTATGTACAGCGCTCCACTTGCGCAACAAGCTGCATATAATTTAGTTAATTAATTACTTAACCCTCATAATACACCCTTATCCCATTTAGAAAGAAGGAAAAGGAAGGAAGGAGCTTAATTAGTTAATTACGTATAGAACCCTTATCGACGGTCTCTGCAATTTGGCCAAAAGTGATGCATGGACACCAAAGTGTTACGCAACCTGCATGTAGACATACACAATAACATGAATCATTAATTCACGAGTAAATGATCAATACATGATCCAAATTAATCCCCACTATAAACAACTTTATCAAAATAATTACAAATCATTTACGCTATAAGAAAATCTGACAATAGTGAGAATAATATGTATACATATAAAATATATATATCCCATTTTTATATATACGTACAGTTTTTTGGATCGGAGAAGCAGTCGAAGAGCCCGGTGGACCAAGGAACGAGGTCGCGATGGCGACTGTGGCCGCTTTGGGAGCTCATGTCCTCGTGAGAAGTAGTAAAATAAGGTTCAGCCAGTGTGAGTGGATCCACCTGAATTTCTTCAGGTTTTTATAATGTTGACTTGATTGATATTGTAAAACTTAAGAACGTATTCTATTTTTTATTGGTTACGCGGCACACGGAGGTGAACTGGGAAAAAAGAATTGCAATCCCCCGTCTTATAACTTGGCCATGCCGCCAAAATCGAACATATTCCTTTATTTTCAGCAAGTCGAACATATTCCTTTATTTTTAGCAAATCGAACGTATTCCTTTCTTTTCAACAAATTGAACATATTCCTTCTTTATTTTCTGTTTCATTTTTTTTTTTTTTTGTCTTCAAATTTAAATGTATTATTATTTATTTGTATCATTATTACAACAATTATTCAATATTTCATACATTGTACATACCCGTGTATAAAATCATGACAACAAACTTAGAGTAAACATTAAATATAATTTACTATGTCGAAAACTCTACTATGTTCAAAAAATGCACCGAGATCTTGATAACAAACGATAGTCTACATGATGTTTCATTTATCTCGACTCATGCCTTCCTCCACCACCGGAGCCACCGGAGTCATTCCAACTTCTTGGTTCCTTTCCTCGATGTTTCCATGCCATCCTAATTGTTTTATTATTCAACATTAATCCAACCAAGTCAATGCAACAAGAACAAAAAAAATTTAACCTAAAATATAGAACTCCATCTAACATTTATTCAATTAGGAAGGTCAGTCAGTTTGCGGCCAACAGAAGATATTATCAAATTGGCTTCTAGAGGGTCAAAGCCACCCGATTTGAAAAGACCTTTTTCTTCTTTGTAATATCGTTTCCTTTAAAATATATATAAATCTTAAACAAACACGAACGGATGTACTAATTAATTATGATTAGTAAAACTTAACCTAACTCAGGAAGAAAGGAAGACATAGGTACTAATTTATGATTAAAAGAAATAAGGAGATCCAGTTTTATATATTAGTATTAATCATATCCAGACAGTAAGACCTATATTAGGGTCAGAAATTCTTGGGCATACAAAGTCAACAGATCTTGTTGAAAATAAAATATATTATGGCTACACAAACCGTTGAAGGGAGTTCTAGATCTGGCCGTCCAAGACGAATTAATTCGGGGAGTTTATTGAAACCATTAAATTCATAATATGATAAAGTAGTTCCTGGGTGGGGAACTAATCTTTTGATGGGTCTCAAAGTGACTCTATTTGCGATATTTCTATCTATTATTCTAGAGATTTATAATTCTTTCATTTTACTGGTGTAACTGATTGTATATCCTCATATTAATTAGTATTAATCTTGTCATGCGGCACAACACTTAATTGAATCTTTGAATTTAAAAGAAGAACTAGAAATGGAGGAGTAATTACCAAGTTTCATGTCGAAACCGCGAGACTTGAGTTCGCGGTACTCTTGGCACAAGGCGCAGCCCTCACAGAAGCAATGAACCAAGCAGTCACCGCAAGGGCTCTCTTCCAGGCTGTATTGCTGTCTCATTTTGGAGCGGTAGAAGCATGAATAGATACATGGAAAAGCCGTCACACAAGCAATCAGTGTGTAAAGCGCTCCACTAGCACCACAAGCTGCATATAATTTAGTTAATTAATTACTTAACCCTCATTAATCGGTTACTAATACACCCTAATCCCATTTATAAGGAAGGAAAAGGAAGGGAGAAGCTTAATTAGTTAATTACATATAGAACCCTTATCGACAATCTCTGCAATTTGGCCAAAAGTGATGCATGGACACCAAAATGTTATGCAACCTGCATGTAGACATACACAATAACATGAAACATTAATTCAAATGTAGAGTAAATGATCAACACATGATCCAAATTAATCCCCAATATAAACAACTTTAACAAATTAATTACAAATAATTTATATATATATATATATATATTATATATATGCCATATTTTTATATATACGTACAGTTTTTTGGATCGGAGAAGCAGTCGAAGAGGCCGGTGGACCAAGGACCGAGGGCGCGAGGGCGGAGATGGGTAGGTGGGTGGGTCATGTGGCTGTGGCCACTTTGGGAGCTCATGTCTTCGTAAGAAGTAGTAAAATAAGGTTCACTACCGGAGCTGACTGGGATGCCCGTGGCCGGTGCATCGACATGTTGGTGGAGGTGGTCGGAGGAGGAGTACTTCTCGTATCCGTTTGTTTTTGACGAGTACATGATGGTTGAAGATTGGTGGGGAACGATCAGCGATGAGGAGGTTGAGAGAATATGATCTCAGACAGAGAGAGAGGATTATAGAACTTCGGTTTATTGACTTCCTAGTCTCCTTTGTCTGCGGCTGCGTTATGCGTGTCTTTCTGGGTGCTTCCTTGCTTACAAAGCTGGGCCGGAGTTTTTGAAGGCCCAGGGAAAAGCCTGTGAAAAATGGCCCTTTTATACAGAACAATTTTTTTTTTTTTTTAAATTCCAAATAAAAATCGCGGAGTGATTTTTGAACATCTATTTCACGTTTTACACTTTATTTATTTATTTTTTATTTATTCAATCGAATAACTATAAAAGATAGGTATACAAGTATCACGATATACGGAGTAACCACGAGTAAGAAACGATTCGTGTAAAGCAAGACTCTAAAAGATTCGGATACATGAGTTAGAGAAGTCGTTGTTGTTACATTGCAACTTCATATCACATTCAAAAGTAATCAAAAGACCATTTGCTTGCATTAGCAGTGGTTTCTTCATCAATTTGGGATTTGGGTACAATTGGAATATTTCAGAATAATTGGGGGTAGGGTACGTGCGTGGGTGACCTTAGCGTAGCGCACCACTACACTTCTCTCAATTTACATTTGGGTACTGAAATCAATAGTGGGCTGAAAAATATGAAAGTAGGCCCACCAACGGTGCATTGATGTAAGTGGTGGGCTCGGATTCTTGGAAGAAAGACCTCGAGTCCGGGAATGCGTCTGAGCTGTTGGGCCCACCAACAACGGCTCCCACCAGCAAATTTGGGTTGGGATTTGGACTCAAGAAGTATCTAGACCCGGCTTTGCACCCGATACGGGCCGGATGAGCCTGCACCGATGGTAGCGAGCTGCCCCGATGGTGTATCCTCTGTGGGTAGCGTGCACCGTATCCGACCATGTACGACATCCTCAATGGATTATCACCTAGAATGTAGTCCACCTGAAGAAAAATCAATTCCGAAAATTACAATGTTGTCCTCACATATTCTGATTATTCCAGAAGCACCCTTGTTCACGTGGGTGCCCTCCTAACGAAGGTCAGAAAATTAAGGTTAAAGTCGAATAGGACAAGATCAAAATTTAGCCGTTAACTTGTCTTCATTATTTAAAGATGGTCAATGACTGAATAATGTATGGTCATAAACTCGTAAGACCGTGAGAACTGGCAGAACTCTCGCGGAATTGAAATACTATTGCAATAACATTTCATGTCGGAGAGAGACACATTAGTTTTCATGAATTACCTGGCGTTTGGCCAATTGTTTGAGGAAAGCAGGGGAGGCTGAGGTCTCGCCACATGGCACGTTCTTATTGGCATGGCTTAGATAGTTGGAGTAGGACAGAAGTAGGAATGAAAGTGAGGTTACATGCTGCATGTTACTACCTCCTGGCTTGAATATCAAGCCACCTTCAAAAGAGAAAAACTTAATCAATTTACTAAACTTAATTAGTGAGTTCCACAAAACAAAACAAAAAAATTAATTAGTAAGTAATTAAAGAAAAACAGGGTTTTGCCCATGACGCAATTAGCAGTCCTGGAAAGTTTATGATCTTATTATTTTATTCTTTGTGATCATAAAAATATTATATACCAGGAGAATATTGGACTTGAGGATGAGAAAGTCCAGGCAGTATGGAACATATAAACCCATCAGCATTCTGTGTGAAAGATTCGAAATAATCTGCTTTTCCCATAAGCACTTCCTGCAGCCAAATCCAAAAGCACATTTAATTTTTTTTTCTCCTGTAGATGATGAGAAACACTGAGACTGACACATGCATTGTGTATAATAGCTAGGTTTCAATTGCAAAACCAATGAATCGAAATCCGCCATTCATGAATCAAGATAATCCTATTTTATTTTCCAATATTCTTGTACTTATTATTATCTATATGCACTGCACATAAGATATAGCAGATCGATACTTCCTTGGTGCTTCAGAGCTCCTCCAAGTGATAACAATTGTAATGTATTCGTGCCTATAGAAGAGACGCGTGAAAATCATCTCAACGTAATAATGCACAAACAAGCTTATGCACATAAAATACAAGAAATATGCAGAAATCATTTCCCTGTAAAAGGATAACAAGATATAATAGAGTGGGAAAAGGATTACGTTTTGAAATCCGGGACTGGGAACTGAAAAGCCCTTAACAAGGGGTCGCAATCAGTTCCAAGAAAAGTTAGGGTTGTGAGGCAAATAATACGTCTGAAGGGAAGAGTATGGGAAGAAAGAAGGAAAGAAACCCATCCTCTCGCTCTCGGCACCTTTAAGCACATGCACACAGCAGAGACTCAACTCATTTCGTCCACCCATGGGACCCACCAGTCCACATGGAAATGGATGACCGCTTTGTTGCTTTTCTCTGATTGACGAGACTACACAATGCCAAAAATCCATTCCACCCTAAAGTCATTTCTACCCCTCTTGCATCATCTCGCTTCTTCTTATTATCTTTAATCCATCGGCGCAATTTCGACTATGTACTGTCTAATCTAATAATTAGCAAATGAAAGCCTAATTGTAAGCTAAAAATGGATCTTGTCTTAGATTCACGCACTTTTTTCCTAAATTTTCTCGACTATTATTTTTCTACATGTTTTTTAACTTTACGTAACAAATGCTTTGCCTGTTGAGTTATTAAATCCAATTTGCACTGAGATGTACGGATCGCACCACCACTTAAAATACAAAGACCTTTGTTCGCTTAACATATTCCAGTTGCTCAAAACGGTATGCCAAAAGGGTCCACAAGACAACCAAAAACCACGGTGCACACATTGGATAATGTTAATTATTTGCACAAGTGACATAAAAGTTAATGGTATATTTTTATCAGCGATGAGAAATGAAGGGAGACAAAGGAGTCGAATGAAAAGGCAAAAACGAAAGTTAAGTCATTCATGTCCGTTCAATTATTGATTAAACGGACATGGTTGAGGATTCGGAGGATCCAAATGGAAGGAATGCGGAGAAATCCTATTCGTATTTTTTACATTTAGACATAATTCCAGAGCACGTGATACACAGACCATACCACCTATTTTGCACTAACGCAACGATTAAAGAAATGGTTGCTACATTCCATACAAGAACATAAAGCCAAAAAGAATAAAAACACAGATTGAGACAAACAATAAATTATATTTAAATAATCAATAAAGTTGGTAGCACAATGAGTAAGGAGTAATAAAGAAATAATTAAGAAATGAAAGCTAGATTTGTTTGGCTTAAGTACCTTGGAAATGAGGACGTTAATCCCAGCATGCTTGTTGTCCCAACCAAACTCGTTAATGGTATCACCTGCTCGCAACACCACCTCGTTCTTCACTATATATTCTCTGTATACGCGCCTCCTCGATGCCTTGTGCAGCCACACTGCTCCCCACAGCAACTCATCCTAAAGTATATTAATCCAACTACATTAAGCTAAGAAATTCGATTTCTAAAAATGTTACAGAGACGGGCCAACATTTCACTACTTAATCATTTCGATATTGCGTTTAACAAGTTATTCACTAACACGAACTTGTAAGTTTTATCGTAAAAAATTTCGGTGTAAGAGTCAGTTTTGTTGACCTGGAAGCCGTTCACGTCGCAGTAAAAAGGGCACACGGCATGGTGCAGGCTGGCGCTGTACGCACCCCGGTGCCTGTCAGCAAACTCGAAAACCTGTGTCGCAGATTTTACTTTTTAACTTTTTACCCAAAGTTAATAAAACAAACGAAGTGAACAGTTAAGTGAGTGAGTGACAGCGACGTACCCTAACGGCTCGATTGAGGAGGAATCTAGAGTAAGCCGGGTCACGTGATCTGAACACGATAGAAGCAGCGGCGAGAGCAGCGGCTGTTTCGCCTGCCACGTCAGACCCCGGGTGGTTCTTATCGATCTTGTACACAGCGCGTGACGTGTCCATGTCCTCCGGCCGCTCCCAGCAGTTGTGGTCCGAGTAGGGGTCGCCGACCTGGACAAAAACGACGTCGGGCACCGCCGTCGCCTTGAGGAGGTAGTCGGAGCCCCATTTCACGGCCCGAACCGCGTTCTTCAGCTCCGGACCCATGGTTCTCCCGAAGTCGATGACGCTCCACGCCAGCAACGTCGTCGTGAATGCCATTGGAAATCCGAACTTTACGTTGTCGCCGGCGTCGTAGTAGCCGCCCGATAAGTCCACCTGAAGTTAGTATTAATAAATGCAATGTCAGAAAAAAAAATTCAAATTAAACTCGGCGTTTGAGAAATGTGGGAGTGCGAAGGGAATGGGAGCTTACTCCGGCGGTGGACCCGTCGTGCAATGCAGAGTCGCGGCGCCATTTTAGGCGTTGATCCTGGGGGAGCTTGCCGGAGCGTTGGCCTTCGAAGAAGAGGATGCTCTTGCGGAGAGCGTCGTGGTAGTCGTGGGTGGCGGCGCTGGTTGAGTGGAAAAGGAGAGAAAGGAGGAAGAGGGCTGCGAGAGGGGCGCGAAATGCGGAAACATTCCCCGGGAGGCAGAGGAGGTTTCGCGCCATTTTTGTTGGTGGTGGAGGGGAGCAGAGCACACTTAACAGCAGCCGTCTTGGGTTCTTTTATAACGAAAAGGCGTCATTGGATTCCAGAGGCTGGGCCAATGGGGTTGGAACACGTGGAGGAGGTTACTGGATCATGCTCGGATTCCAATGCAGGACTTGCGTGACTGGATCGCTTCGAGTCTCTTTGACTCGTTGGACCGGGTTTGGAGAGAACCGGTGTCTAAATTTGTTTGCATGGTAATAACCCCGAAAGATTGTAAGAATCGACGGTGGATTAGATTTGTGAATTTAATGGACGAAATGATGAGTTAAATTATGGGGGAGGTGGATGGTCCATGGTGCGGTGGATGCGACACACGTGGAAGGCGTGAGGGGTGTCGGCCCCACAATGTACAACAAGATTATACCTCTCCCCTCCAAGACTGACTCTTGTAAGATTAGAGTACGTTTTTGTATCGTTTCGTGTCAATTATGGATATCATGATTCATTGTATTTTTACGACTGATCAAGCGGTGAGGTAGTCATTTCACAAAAATTGCTCACCGCCTGCATCTCTCAAGGTGTCAATATATATTAAATGTATTCCTTTACGTGTTTTAACTGATTCACATAATCATTGCATCATTTTTACAATACATTATTTTAGTTTTCTTGTTTCTATTCGGTCATTTTACGTTCTAGTTTTCAATGGATATATGTAGAGATATTGAGGAGTGGGAGAGAGGAGGGAAGGAGACCAATGGGAATACGTGATTGATTGAGGCGTGCATGTGATCTTCGATTCGGTGCTCTGGTGCTCTGGTAGTTGTACAAAAGTATTTCAAATCGGGAAGAAGTTTTCTAAAAGGCAAGTACGTACGAAGATTGTATGTGTACAGTAATTGTACAAATGGATTTCAACGGAAGATATATAGATAGACTGAGAAATGTTATGGGCCTCTCTCTCTCTCTCTCTCTCTCTCTCTCAAAGTGAGATTTTCTTTCGATTTTCTATCATCTCATAGTTTAATGTTAATTCTCTCATGATAATATTATAAAATATTGTATTAAAAATATGAAGTAGCACAGAGTTCGTTGAGAGTCCCATTTTTGAAAAAATCTCTTTAACATTTCTCATAAATTATACATAGACAAAGTAACAGAACTTGCATGTCAACTCTCAGCTCCAAATCCAATTGCAAAAAAATACGAACAAATCAAACATAACTACAGACTTGCAGTTCAAGTAGTTGGCTGCTAATTAAGCTCTTATTAGTGTTTATAATTTTGTCCGTTGATAAATTGGCTAATTTGAGTTTATTGTGTTTTCGAGCAGCTGACGCTGTTAGGTTCTCTACAACTCATGATGTCTTCTTGTAGTTTTGAGCCACCTTGGGCTCAGAGGGGCAGATGCCCCCACTCAGTTTATTGGCAAACAAAAAAATGTACATGCTTGTGATATTAGTAAAGTGTATAACTTGTTTACTTGCTTGTGATATTAGTATTAACTTTTTCAATTGCAATTGCCAATGTTGAAAAAGAGCATTTTCGACCATGATATTTCCGAAGAATTGATTGAGAAATCGGATGGAGATAAATAGATGAATGATAACATGGTTATTTTTATATAGAGAGATATTTGATGGCATTAACTCTTTCAAATCATGAACACGAGTCGAGGGATATTATAATATTTTGTATGAAAAATCTTATGGATTAATAAATAAGTATTTATTTAGTAAATTCTCTAGCTTTTTATTTTGTGACGTTGTTGTTTAACAATACCCCCATTCAAACAAATTTCCGGCTTCGTCCTTGGTTTAACCCCGTTGTTAATGAAAATCTACGCAAGTACCCTTGTAGTAATTTTGATAACAAACAATTGATGCAAAAGCCCTATTCAATATGTGATATTTATATACTCTGGAGTTTGAAGGTAGAGACAAATGTGTAGGTTCCCCAATTAAGGTAGAGAATGTATATGTATGTGGCACCGCTGAGAATTCCTTTTTTTTTTTTTTTTTTTTAAACAAATGATAGTATTTACACTGAGGGAATGAGATGGACTTAGCTTCACAATAGGCTAACAATAATGTGGTTTAAGTGTGCATTTAACGAGAATCAAATTTAAGACCTCTCACTTATAAGTGAAGAAGAATATCACTAGATTATAGTGTTAAATGGGACACCGCTGAATATTACGGATCATCTTTTTAGTCATCAATTTAATTATGCATGTGACTTGTGACTTATTGCAGTTGAATGAATGAAGAAAATCTCATTTCTATGTTGAAAACAATGAAAAGTATATATATGTTAGTATGAATGAATCAATTGTTCAACATGTGAAACTTCATGCTACTTTTGTCTTTTTGCCATTTACCAATCCGAATTGTTGTCCGGTTTAAATCATCTCCAATGCACCGAATAGTTAGGAGGCAGATTCTTTGCCCTCCCATCTTTCGTGCCCTTTTATTTATGTTGTCACGATTAAATCACGTTAATATTTTATTACTATTTATTTTTGTCTTATTATCTCTATAGAAAATATAAAATATTAACATTACTTAACCGTGAACACACAAAACAAGAAATCACAGAAGGACATGGAAAATGAGAAGACAGAATCTACCTCCCAATAGTTAAACCCCATTTATAACGAAAAACGTTCTCGATATCTAAGCGACCCCACCTAAAAGAGCTCTAATAATCACATATAGAATTGAGTGCCTGACTGCCTTTATTGTGATTTCAAGAATGCGATTATGCGATGAGCTTTTTTCCCACTAAACCCGAAATTCTTGCAAGTACAAATCCGAAACTTACAATTTTCGAATGTGTGATGCTAATTACACATCTTTTTTTAACTCTATATATTCTTTGTTAAATATTGTTCTTTGATTTTCTTCGATTCATTATATTCAACGGTTGAAAATTGAGAGATGTATTAAAGATAAAAATGAATGTGTGGATAGCGGTATTTTTTTTTTAAATCAGATGCTTCTTGGGCCAATAAAATTGATACGGCCCGGTATGTATTTTCAATGGGTTTAGAGTTAATGAATTTTCTCCGGTGCGTGGGCCTTTAAATGGGCTTCTACAGAGAAGCCGTGAGATGGGTTGGTGGTCGTATGAACAGAAAATAATGGTTTTGAAGACTTTCAGTCCAGCTTTTGTTTATTACAGGTAAATTTTTGAGGAGGATCCCAATTTTTGAACTCACTATGTATTGCATTTCAACTATTCGAACTATCTTACCATATATTGTTGCCAAAAATATTAGTCACATCTAAAATGATCGAGACTTTTAGAGCATGTTTGATATTCTATTTGAATCCAATTTTTTAAACTCAAAAACAATTTTTAAGTTTTAGGCCTTAAAAACTTGTTTGGTATGATTGTTTTTTAAAACTGAACTCAAGACCAACTCAAAAATATAGTATATTCTTTAAAAACACAAAAAATGAGTTTTTAGAGTCTTTAAACTTAAACTCACTTATTTTTTCTCTCCCTCCTCCCTTCTCACTCCAAAGCTATCTCTCTCTTTTCTTCTTTCTCTCTGCCCTTCACCCTTTTTTTTTTTTTGCCTTTTTCGTCTCTCCTCCAATCTGCACTCATTATTTTCTCCGTTTTTTTTTCTATCACTCCTCTTCCTTTTCCTCCCTATCTCCTCCGATCCTCTCACTTCTTTCTCTTTTCTCCAATCATCTTTTACTTTCTTTTCTCCTCTCTCCTCTTTCTCTCTCAACCCTCTATTTTTAGATCTCTTTGTCCAAATTAAGTTGTAAAATTTAAAATTTTTAAATTGCATACCAAACAAGTTTTTGAGTTTTAAAGAAAATTGTTTTCAAGAAAAATTCTTAAGAAATGTTTTGAGAAATTATAAAAAATTTCAAATAGGATACCAAACAAGCCCTTAATTGTAATATGGAAATTTGACGGACATGGGTGTCTAAGAACAAAATAGATAAAATTAGACGATTTTGATGATTGTGGACATGGCAAGTCCGTGACCCAAAGGTAATTAAGTTCTAATATCAAGGACATTCACTCGACTGATCAATTACTGACCATAGTCAAATTTGCTGTCTGACAGCCATACCATGTGTTCACAAGGCTATACACAAAAAATCAAGACCCCACGTATTTTTGTATCACTTGAATTTTTACTCGAAAGAAGTGTGCCTAATATGAACTGCGGTACCCAATAATTCTTCAAACGATAGAATGATAGGCTTGTAAAAAGAAAAATAGATAAAGAAAAGAAGAAGAAGATAGTCTTTTCTTTTGGCCTAGCTAGGCAAAGGTTATTCAAATGTTCGTTCACATTGCTCATTACCTCAACCGTACTCGATTGAGCTCGTGACATAGAATATTGATTCAAATGCTCTTTATTTACGGGTGACATTTTCCCATGTCTAACGCAATTGAATTAGGCTAAATGTTGTTTTATCTTTGACAATGATGCGTGGCCATAGGGGGTGGGCCATTTGGGATTGAGACTCATTTTGGATCTCTGTGTTCGGAGCTCGTAGTTCGAGAAATCTGAACCACTTAATTTCAATTATACGACCTCTATTAGCCCATCACACTGACCCACTTCACAAAATCTAAAAACTTGAACAATATGAATCTTTTTCTCTGTCTTTTGAACAGTCCGAATCTCTCAGTTAGTAGGCTTCGGACATAAATATTCGAAATAGATCTCATTCCCATCATTTACACATGATTTACCCATTGGAAGCAGGTTTGTATAGATGAAATCATGATTATTCATTTTCAATTGCTAATCTATATTATGTTAAAAAGAAGCATACTTAATACAACTTAACATTAAACTCGTTGTAAATACACATTGTTATATGCGTTAATATGAGTTAAAATGGAGGGACCCGAATTATTTGCTTGATTTTTATGTGCTTGACTCCTCATATGGGTTTATAGTTGACACATCACTCTTAAAATTTGAATGAGATGTCATGTGGATATAAAATCGAACAGAGAATCCAAATCTAAAACTTTATATCTTTTAATCGAGGCCGAGTACCACTAAACCTAATGATCACATGCAACCCAACCTGGCTATGTGATGTGATCCCTCGATCATGATCATGCATGTTTCTCTTTTGAAAAAGTTCAACTTGGAACCAAGAAAACCTGCCCCGGCCCCGCAGAAACACAAATTCATTTCAAGCTTTTTCATGTCTCCCTCATCATTAAGATTCGTTTGTATTGAGTCAATTGCGGCGACGAGCTCGTGAATCAATCATATATACCTTCTCCCAAAAGCTTCAAGATTAAGTTGAGATTAGGATCACATTAGCTTAATTGAAAGAGTCGAAGGAAATACACATCTGTTTGAGAATGTTTTACTTTCACTAGTGGTGAAACAAAGAGTCGAAGGAAATACACATCTGTTTAAGAATGTTTTTATACAAAATACTTCTGCTTATAAGCGTTTTGTTGACGCTATCATAAAAAAGATTTAACGTTTGTATGGTATTTTTGCATGCTTCTGGCTATACATAGCTCGAAAGTACTTTTCCTGCCAGTGATTAGTGTTTAAAACCATTCTGAGCAATATCTTATTTCCAAAACTCAAATGTTTTTATTCATACGATGTGTGGTGGAACACTGGAGCTAATAATCGAGTATTTGGAATTTGGACCCTGCACAATAATGCTACAAAGTTGGCACGCTTAGCAATAGTAGCATTAGTGGGGTAGCTTCCCCAGACCTAGAGACCCAAGCCTAACTAACGCACCCAACCGCCCTACCCGCCCACAGGATTAAAATGGCACCCCACCAGCCGTCCAATTATCCAGATCATCATCCCTTCTGGACGTTTCCATTGCATCCTAGCCGTTGATGGTGCAACTACTCTGCTACGTACATAAACCCCCCAGCCCACACATCATGGAGCTCAAGAAGCGGAGTCTTCTGTGTTCTTTCAATAATACTCTCTATTCCCACACACCATGAACACCAACCGCATGTACACCCACTTCCTCCTCCCCCAACTCTCCTTCACCATCCTCTTCTTCCTCATCTCCCACCCCATTCCCACCGTCGGATTCCCATCCAACGACTCGGAATTCATCCGCACTAGCTGCGGCACCACTCTGTACCCTGACCTCTGCTACACCTCCCTGTCCCGCTTCGCCAGTGCCGTCCAGGACAACCCGACTCGGCTCGCCAAGGTCGCCATCGGCGTCAGCCTCGCCAGGGCCCGCCGCATTGCTGCCTACGTCTCCAACATATCCCGTCAAGCCGACTACGGCGCCGACCCTCGCGCCTCCTCAGCCCTCCACGACTGCTTCTCCAACTTCGGCGACGCAGTCGACGAGATTCGAGGCTCCCTCAAACAGATGCGCCAGCTCAGTTCCACTGCAAACTCAAGAGGCGGATCCTCGTCGTTCCGGTTCCAGATGAGCAACGTCCAGACGTGGATGAGCGCAGCGCTTACCGACGAGGAGACCTGTACGGACGGGTTTGATGACGTGGAGGATGGGCCCCTCAAGACCGACGTGTCGAACCGGGTTGAGAATGTGAAGAAGGTTACCAGCAATGCCCTTGCGCTCGTTAATAGCGTTGCTGAGAAGGGCGCGCCCTGATAAAAGTCGAGCCTCCATCTCTGGTTTTGGTAGTCTTTGGCTGTTGGAGTAGTTGATTAGTAAGTTAATCAATGAAGATTAGTAGAGATTTGTATCAAACTTTACCGTCTGTTTTCTTTGTGTGTTAATGTTGTTGTAATATATTTTGGTCTAATTGGTGATTGTTTTCCAGTTGCTATGGTTGTAGTTTATTAGGGTCCATAAAAAAATTAGAAGAAGTTAATCGGGGAGGAACTTTATGAGGGTAAATTACCTATTAAAGACTTTACTATTAATTGTTCGGGTTTTTTGTTCTTCTAAAAATGTCCTTTTTCAGGACAAATTTTTTTGAGTATCCAGAATATGGCCCGCCACACTAACTATCAAAATATATGTTGTTGGATATTTTTAAAAACAAAATTTCAACTAATAATATTACGACGCTGGTTGTATTAGGCTGTATTATCGGCCCACTGAATAATTTCTCCCTTTTTAATATAAAATGATTGTGTTCTTGTTATATTAGTATTTTTTGAAAATTTATTGGAGAAAATCATTTATCTAATTTCTGTTTTGAAGATGATATGCTATGTGATTTTGATTTGAGGCTCATTAAGATGGATCTTTTTTCCCATATAATGACGTTTCTTTCTCGCACTACATAAACCCTCCCACTTAAAATGATTTTTTTCTTGTTAAATTAATATTATTTGAAAATTTATTGGAGAAAATCATTTATCTAATTTCTTTTTTGAAGATGATATGTTATGTGATTTGATTTGATTTGAGGCTCATTAAAATGGATCTTTTTCCCGTATAACGGACTTTTCATTCTCGTACTACATAAACCCTCCCATTTCAACCGCAGTACATGTACAACCACACATGCATGCAGTCATGAAGAACACTGAACGCAGGACGACCCAGTTTCTCCTCTCTCTCGTTTAGAGATGGGCAACGTTTATGGCAGACGGGTAACGTGATTATTTACCCATAATCGTTTATATTTATACCCGCATAACTGTTTACCCGTTGAGTAATTGTATAAATGGTTATACACATACCTATAACCGTTTATTAACGGTTAACCATACTCATAACCGTGTACCTATTTAACCATAACCTTTTACCCATTTAATCATAACCATTTACCCGTTTTTGAACCCGTTTATAATTTTTTTTTTTTTATCAATTTACCCTTTTTTCACCTATCTACATGTTTTTTTAACAACTTGAAAATTACAAAAGAAAAATTTGTCATAATCTTCGTTTTCTGACAATTAAACACCGTTATAAGTACATTTTAGTATGCATTTCCCTATTTTAATCATTTAAGTCTTCGTACAATTCCAATTATTGAAATAATAGTTTACGAACAATATTTTTCTACTACACCCAAGCAAGTCTTTTATCATAATCCATATGATTACAAAGTAAAGCTTCTAAAAACAAAAAGTGGTCATTATCTTGAATACTAGATGATTCAAAGCTCCAAAATATTCCGAAACTAAACACTTTCGAACACTAATGCTTTAGCATGTTCAATCACCAAGTCTCATCAACTAGTTATCACTAATGTTTTATTCGTTATAACCGCGGGTAATACCCATAACCGTCCATTTAAATTTCATGGATAAACGGTTATGGGTATAACCGTTTGTACGAACAAACGATTATACCCATAACCGTAATAGTTAACTTTAAATGAATAGGTAACCGCGATTATCCAAATCCATGGGTATTTTGCCCATTCCTACTCTTGTCTTCCTCTTTTCATTCCTCTCACAACCAATCCCAACATTCGGATCCCCATCCAATGAAACGGATCAGCTCGCCAAGGAAGCTCTTGACGTCGGCCTAACCAGTGCTCAGCGTATGGTTAACTACTTATCCAGCATCGCCCTTAACGACTGCATCGAGGCCTTTGGCACCGCCGCCGGCCTCATTCGCAACTCTCTTGAGCAGATGCTCCTGCTCAGATCCCCCAGCTCCCCGTCCTTCAGGCCAGAGATAAATAACGTGCTGACATGGATAACCGGTGCCATTGACGACGGGAACACCTGCACGGAGGGATTTAAGGAGGTGGCGGAGGGTCCCTTGAAGACCGACATATCCAATAGGGCGGAGGATTATAAAAAGGTTATTGAAAATGCGCTTGCACTGGTTCGTAAAGTTGCCGAGAAGCAGGCGCCGTGATCAACCCTCATCTGGTTTCTTGTAGTATTTTTTGTCTGTTGGAACTATCAATAGTGACTTGATTAAAGAAAATAAGTTAATGTTTAAATCATATTTAACAATCAAGTTCACGAGAACCCCTTTGTAATTGAGATTCATCGTCAACATCAATGGGTCCCGCCGGCAAACTATTGTTAATATCGCAGCCAATCTGTTGCTGTATATAGAAGAGAAACTTCTCTACCTGTCCGGACTTCCGACACTCTATTTCTCTCACCACACGATAGTTGGATTCCCACCTCCAATATTACACATTCATTTTCGTATACTTGACCTCAAACCTTATTACTTGCAATAAAGAAGAACCAAAATTTTCTATATCATTTAGAGTCATCAGTTGTAATTAGCAAGGGTAAAATAACATTAATGTTGGGGTCACATGCACCAATTTTCCCCGCTTTGGCTTCACTAGTGTACCTGCACCAACAAATTCAATTTGGAGATAAAGTTATGAAATTAACAAGAATGTGTGGAAAGATGGATGCAGTTTTTTAAAGGATGAATACGTACGTACTAAGATTATACAGTAGCTGTTATTAGTGTTGTTTAGAGGCAATCAAAGCTACCCTAGTAGTGACATGATTTCCGTAGCTGATGAATTGGCTAATTTGAGTTTATTGTGTTTTTTTAGTTGCTGACGGTGTTAGGGGTTCTAGACCTCCTGACGTCTTTTTGTAATTTCATTTTGTTGATCGTTTAACCCCATTGTTAATAAAAATTTACCCAAGTACCCATGTAACAATTTATGCAAAATCCCTATTGAATATGTCACATTTATAGACTGTGGAGTATGTTGACAAATTCTCAATCACTTTTTTATCCATCAATTAATTATGCATGTGACTTATTGTAGCTAAATCAATGAAGAATATCTCAATTCTATGTTAATTAATCAATCAGTTAACACATAAATTATAAAATATAGTATGCTATAAATGAGAACCGTATCGAAATTAGACGTTAAATCTTCACGTCTTGTTGTAAATATGGATTGATTGGCAAGACATCTTCAGACTCGTTTGAAAATACTTTTAAAATAATTGAAGACGTTTTTGGAGAAAATGATTTTTCCAGTATCCACTTGTATTTAAACTAACGATTGGTTGCACAAACATTTTTGCCAAAAACCCTTTCATCAGTTTTAAATGGACTTCCAACCAAGCCCTTCAACTGCCAATTATTTCCAATCTCCTTCTCTCCAATCAGATACACCGCCAAAAAAAAAAAAAAAATTCATTCCAAAAAAGATGGAAAGAATCATATAATTTCCACACTATATGCTGCCAAACCCCATGCCCTAAAGCATGCCACCATTATATACGAACACCAACCCCTTGTTAATCCCAGACATAGATGATCGTCCATAAAGTAGTATCCATTTTTACTCTTAAAAAAGAAGAAAATAAAACTGGATACAGTTTTGGTAGATACTATTAGGAGTAATCCAGTTGTTTTTACGTTGTAATATTTCCAATCTCCTTCTCTCCAATCAGATACACCGCCAAAAAAAAAAAAGGGATTTTTTAAATTTAATCCTTCAAGAAAATTGAAATTTAAAATTAACTTGGCATTAGATTACATATTGATTATAATCATTGATGTGTCCTTAATTCAAAATAATTAATGTGTCTTTTATCTAATGTCTCCCATTAAATATTTAAATTTATTAACATACAAAATTTTAATTTATTTTTTGACCAAAAAATAGTTTTTTAATTTATTAATTTTATTTAACATTCTTCAAACTTGAAAGACTCAATTAATGTACCTAAATATTAGTACCAAAATGCGTGTAACGAAATGTATGTACTAAAATATATGCACCGAAATGTATTATATTAAATTAATCTACCTAAATGTGTATACCGAAATGTATGCACCAAAATGTTAGTGCCGAAATGTATTATATTGAATTAATGTACCTAAATGCTTGTATCGAAAATGTATGTACCGAAATGTGTGTATCTAAATGTATGCACTGAAATGTGTGTACCTAAATGTATTGACTGAAATATATTATAATGAATTTTAATGTACCTAAATGAAGAAAACAAAGTATATCGAAATATATTATATAACAAATATTAGTTTATCTAAATGTTTACAACAAAATATATTATGATAAATGAAATGAAAATGAAATAAAATTAATACATTAAAAATTAGGAAGAAAAAGATAAATAATTAAAAAATCAAATATAATTAATAAATAAGGTTATTAATGTATTAGGGGACTAAAATTAGATTTTAATCTTACTCATGGTTTTAATCTAAAAGTCATCTTTGCCAATGATTAAAATGAAGTTTTCTATTCACATAAAAACAACTGGATTACTCCTAATAGTATCGACCAAAACTGAAACTACATATATCTAGTTTTATTTTCTTCTTTTTTAAGAGGAAAAATGGGTACTATTGTCAAAAAATAAAAAATAAAATAAAAAGAAAAAAAGAAGAGGAAAAATGGGTACTACTTTATGGATGATCATCCACGTCTGGGATTGACAAGAGGTTGGTGTTCATATATAATGGTGGCATGCTTTAAGGCATGGGGTTCGGTAGCATATGCCATATAGCGTAGAAATTATATATAACAACTAGTGCACTGTAGATACACATATTATCCATGCAAAGCTAATCATAAAGTTAGCAGAGCTGCATAATATTTGTAGAAGTTTGATGAGTTGTGACGTTAATTAGGAGAGCAACTTGGGTGGTGTAGTTGCATCTATATATTTTGTCTTAACGGAAATTGGGTATTATGCTTGTTTTCAAAGGGGTTAATTTATGGTTGCAGATAAAAAAATAGAAAACTTCATTTTAATTCTTAAAAAAATATGAGTTTTAGACTATAACCTTGTGTAAAATTAAAATCTAATTTTAGTCCCTAGTACATTTAATCATCTCATTTATTAGTTATATTTTGATGTTTTATTTATCTTTTTATTCCTATTTTAATGTATTAATTACATTTAAATTTAATTTTCATTTCATTTATCATAATATTTTAATGTCTACATTTAGGCAACTATGTTTTTTTTTTTTTTTTTTTTTTTTTTAATAATATATAGTCCAATAACAATTTTGTATATATGTTCTTCATGTAGGTACATTAATATATTTGAATATTTCGGTATATCCATCAATACAAACATATAAGTTGTAACATCCCACATCGCCCAGGGGAGTGATCCTTATATGTATATTCTCATCTCTACCTAGCACAAGGCCTTTTGGGAGCTCACTGGCTTCAGGTTCCGTAGGAGCTCCGAAGTTAAGCGAGAAAGGGGCTAGAGCAATCCCATGTTGGGTGACCCACTGGGAAGTTGCTCATGAGTTCCCAAAAACAAAACTGTGAAGGAATGGTAAGCCCAAAGCGGACAATATCGTGCTACGGTGGTGGAGCGGGCCGGGGAAGTGATCCGCCCCGGGCCGGGATGTGACATAAGTACATTAATTCATCGATACAAACATATACATGCATTTCGGTACATACATTTTGGTACACACATTTGAGCTTTTTTTTTTTTTTTTTTTTTTTAGTACAACGATATATTTTACACTAAGGTGAGGGAGGTTTGGCTAGGCCACACAATGGACAACTTAATTTGGTATCGAATTCGCCATCCACGAGATTTGAACCTAATACATCTCATTTGAGTATTGACTTTCTGGTACATTAATTCAATATACTATATTTTGGTACATACATTTTGGTACATATATTTCGGTATTGACATTTAGATACATTAATTCAATATAATACATTTTGGTACATACATTTCGTTACGTACATTTTGGTACATACATTTTGGTATTGACATTTAGGTACATTAATTCAATATAATTCATTTCGGTACATATATTTCGATACGTACTTTTTGGTACGTATATTTCGGTACATACATTTTGGTACATACATTTCAGTATTGATATTTAGGTACATTAATTCAATATAATACATTTTGGTACGTACATTTTGGTACATATATTTCGATACATATATTTCGGTACATACATTTTGGTACGTACATTTTGGTACATACATTTCGGTATTGATATTATTTCGGTACGTACATTTTGGTACATAAATTTCGGTATTGATATTTAGGTACATTAATTCAATATAATACATTTCAGTACATACATTTAGTTCATTATAATATATTTTGTTACAATCATGTAGGTACAAAAAAGTCAATTATATATATTTCGGCATAGTACAATCATGTATTTATATATTTTGTATCACAAATTTCTTTTAATATTTTCTCATTTATGTTCATTTATAATTAAAGAACTAAATATGTGCATATTAATAAAATTAAAATTTAATGTGGAGAGATTAAATAAAAATACACATCAAATAACAAAAATTGAATATAAATTTTGATAAAGTACACTTCAAGGGATTCAATTGAATATGTAATCTAGCACTAGTTTTTTTTTTTTTTTTTAATTTTAATCTTTTGCAAGAACTAATGTTCAAAAACCCCTTATGTGAAATATTGTGATTCCACATCACCCTTTTGTTTCTGCATCCCTTTCTTCATTCCAAAAGAAAAATAAAAAGAGGCGTTCAAAAAAAAAAAAAAGAAAATAAAAAGCAAGACTTTCTTTACAAACCTCCGGTTCATTACTTCATCCATGCAATAACACAAAAATACCTACTCAATATGCGAATGCTAAAAATTATAAAACAATTGTAAGAACCACTAACGTAAGCTACAGAAGACTAATTGTGGTTGGCCCTGTGAAGATCATAGTTCAAAGTTCAAACCATGGAGTTCAGATATTTTCTTTTCTTTTCTGTCCTATTCATGCTGCAACATTGTTCTTGTGGTTGTAGAACCATTGAACCATGCAGCAACCAAACACCATACCCTCAACCTCTCGTGTGCCACCAAGATCACCAACATCATAAAAGTAGGTTTTCATTTCCTGACCGAAAGCTTCTGAAA